AAATCCAACCAGTGTGCAGGAGGCGTGCCAGCTCGGGAGCCGTGGAGTAGTACTTGCAAGGGAGAGAACGCGCGTACTTACTCAATCGGTCCACAACCGTGAGGATGCCGTCGTGCCCGAGCCGGTCGCGAGGAAACGGACCGGTGGCGTCCATGGCAATGGAGAGACCGGGTTCCCGTGGGATAGGCATCGGGTGTAACTCGCCGTAGGGATTGCGGTTACGGGGCTTGCTGCGTCGGCCAACTTCGCAAGAGTCGCAATACCGAGTGACATCGGTAATGAGGTCGGGCCATCGGAATCGCTGTCGAAGCCGTGCAATAGTGCGGTTGACTCCGAAATGGCCGGCGAGTCGTGAATCATGGTACTCGCCGAGGAGGCGAGTCCGAAGACGACGGTCGCTTGGGACACATAGTACGTCCTTGCCTCTCGAGTGGAGGAGCAAGTACCCGTCGGCAATGCGGTAATGGCTGGCCGGCGGGTGATCCGAAGATAGCTGTGCATAGAGCGTGCCGAAGTCCGGATCAGACCGATATGCCCGGATGAAGTGTCGCTGAAGCTCCTCGTCGAATGCGAAGGCATGATGTGTCATAGCGCAAAGATCAGGTCTTCGCGAGAGTGCATCTACTGCGCGATTGGAGAGGCCGGGGACATGCTTTGGTGTGAAGTCAAATTGGTCGATGAAGTACATCCATCGTCCGATCGTGCTGCTCACCGTGTCCTGCGTCTTGTAGTAGGTCAATGGATTGTTGCCTGTGATCCATGTGAACCTACGACGCCCAAGGAGGAAGTGCCGCCAGCGTTTGAGAGCCATCACGAATGCGAGCAGCTCCTTCTTCCTTGCATCATCAAGCGAGTTGATGGGAGGCACTTTGTGGCTGAAATACTCCACAGGGTGCCAGTCGTCGCCGTCGTGCTGTTCCAAGACTGCCCCAATGCCATAGCCGGAAGCGTCCGTAGTCACTCGCGTCGGCAGGGTGGGGTCATAGATGGTAAGGACGGGTGCCATGAGAATAGCCGTCTTAAGTGCTTGGAATGAACGGCGTGCGTCGTCATCGAATACGAATGGCACCTTTGGCGACTGTAACCTCGTCATAGGTGCAGCAATCCTGGAGTATCCGGTGATGAATCGCTGATAGTAGCCCGCCAACCCCATGAATGAACGAACGTCCGTGGTGTTGGTGGGTTCGGGACATACTCGTAGGGCCTCGATCTTGTCCGCAAGCGGACGGATGCCTTGCGGCGTCACATAGTGTCCCAAGTACTCCAGCTCCTGCTGTGCGAACTCGCACTTGTCGCGGTTTGCTTTGTACTTGGCCTGTCGTAGCCGCTCCAAAACGGTGCGCATGTGTTCCACATGCTCGTCCAGACTCCGGCTGTAAACCAGAATGTCGTCGAGGTAGATAAGTACGAAACGATCCAGCATGTGTCGGAACTCCGTCGTCATAGCCGCTTGGAAAGTGGCTGGGGCACTCGTAAGGCCAAATGGCATGACCAGCCATTCGAAATGCCCATACCGAGTCTTGAACGCAGTTTTGTAGCGATCCTCCTTGCGAATCTCGAGTTGGTGGTACCCTGACTTGAGATCCAGCTTAGAGAAAAACTATCCTCTAAAAACTAAATCGAACTCTATTCGACGTACTGCTCCTTTTTCATTGATTTATACATCTACTATATGGACTAYCATTCGAAAGAGCATAGAGGATGTYCAAATGGATATTYGATCTTTCCATCCTTATTCTAATTACAGACATAAATATTTTAGTTTATTGCCTAGTCCTTCCTTTCTTAATCTCGAAGCTCCTCAAGAATCTGAAGCTCGTAAGTGTATCCCTGAGCGTTTACATTTAACTAATAACTATACTGGGCGCCGCCCAATCGCTCGAGAAGGTCGTCGATGCGTGGGAGAGGGCTGGCGTTCCTGATCGTCTGTGCGTTGAGCTTGCGATAGTTGATGCACAACCGCAGGTCCTTGTTCTTCTTCCGGACGAAGAGAACAGGAGCACCGTATGGCGATGAGCTAGGCCGAATCCAGCCTTTCTCTAGAAGGTCGTCGAGTTGTGCCCGAAGCACACTTAACTCTTCCTYGCTCATTCGGTAGATGCAACCGTGCGGAGGTACGGCCCCGTCCTCGAGGATGATCTCGTGGCGGATGGGTCGACCCGGTACTACTCCGTGCGGGCCTTCGAACACGTCGCTGTAGGCGTCGAGAAGTTCGGTGATGCGTGGATCCGAAGGTGAGTCCGTCGATGAAGCGTCATGTGGCGGGAGGGCGTGGAGAAAACACACCCGCATCTCCTCGATGTCGTCTCTAATGATGGAAGCTCGCATGCTTGCGGCGGATACCACGTGGCAGTTGATCGAAGGATGAGGAAGAGGCACCGTGCATGGGACTAATACTCCGTTCCGGTCACGAACGAGAACGGTGCGGTTGAAGAAGTTCACCGGGTGATCCTTGCTTCGCAGCCATGACATGCCCAAGATCATGTCGAATTTGGTGTTCAGAATGTCAAAGGACACCGCCTCACTTGCGTGAGGGGCAAAGTACACTGGGACGGTGTCAATGCACCGGTCGATGGACTTGTGCGTATGACCGTCTGCCAAGGTGACTTGCGTAGGCTGGGACTTCCTCCGGATACGTGGGCCAAGGCCGACGCGTACCATGAAGTCCTGGCTGATGTAGTTGCGAGATGCTCCGCAATCGATCAAGGCACTGCAGGTCGCCTCTCCGATCTGAATGCGTATGTATAGCAATGGTGCGTCGATGTTGTCGTACCGTTGCGTCTTGAACTCGCGGTCGATCTTCGCGATGAAAGCGTGAAGGTCGACAACCTCTACTCCGACGTCCATCAACGGAGCTGGTACTGCAGTGTGCAAGTAGTCCCGCAATTGCGCCATAAGCACGTTGCAATGCGGTTTCGGCAATCGTCCGGTCGAGGGAACGGGCATCCACTGGAAGTCCGTGAACGTCAATGGGTTGAGCTCTTCAAGTCTTGACCATGACGTCGAATCCCCGGCGATAGATTGCGGCGAAGCTGCCCAATCGGTTGCCGATGGTGATGAAACCGTGCATGCGGTGGACTGTTGCACGTGGAGCGGTTGGTCCAGCAGTGGAACCAAGTGGACAGCATAATCCTCGTAAGTATACCGAGGACTTGCGACATTCGCATCCTCCCCAGATGTGCAGGAGACCGCTAGCAAGGCGGCCGAATCTGGCGGAGTAGAAGGTGGAGTCGCCTCACCTTCCGCGGAGCTCAGT